TTCAACGAGATGGACTGACACAGTGGCTGCAACAATGGGCTCAAGCAGTGTTTCGTTCTGTGGAACACAGGGTCGCTATGAGCTGGAACTGACTTGACAGCACCTGACAACAAACACCGGATTAAAACAAAAAGCCTACTTCCTAATCAGCTTTGCTGTGTTTGGCTTAACTACCACTATGGCATCAGAATAGATTTCTATTGTGATTGCGCAGTATTTTCACAATCGGAGCTGGTCTGGGAACTGTCATTTTGTTAATAACGTTTTCAGGAAAACATGTTCTGAATTCCCAGTCACTTTCTTTTTAAATGAAGAGGCAGCATGGAGGGAGGCCTCAACTTGAGTACTGGCTCTGCCATTTATTACCTACGCCATTCTGGATACCACCTTCGCTCTCTAAACCTGAGTTTTCTTTTCTGAAAACAAAGCCTGCAGGACTATTGTGAGAAATAAGTAAGACAGTGGCACTCAGTAAATGGTAGCTTAAAAAAAACAAAAATCTCTGAGTTCTCGTATGTTCTGTACAGACACATTTGTTTATTCCTTGTCCTCATTTAATCATGCAAAAAAAGAGACAGATGATCCATCCAGTTAAACCTGCTGTCCCTGGAATGATACCCTCCCAAGGCAGCGGATCAGCAGCCTGGTAACTGGAAAGGCAGTGAGGAGGGGGAAGGGATTCACTAGAACAGCGGTCACTGACGCTGTCACAGAATGTCATCTCAGTGTCCACTTTGGAATGTGCAAATTCCTGGACACATAACGCTTAAGTCATAAGGTCTCATTAGAATCCACTGGCGCATGCTTGTAACACAAAATTTAAGTCCTAAAAAATTTTTATAATGGCGAAAGGGAATAAGCCTCTTCAAACCTGACTCCCTTACTAGATACAAAGGCCCACTTGCTAAATAGAGGGAAATCGAGCATGGTTATAATTATGCACAAGGTCGCCTCTTCCACAGAGGACGGACACGTCTCTGGTGGAGAATGAAATGGCAGAGGAGCTTAGTATACTGATGAGTATACTACTGTTACTGTAGCTAAAGCCGGCCGTCCAGGAACAGCGGTCTTAAGATGGGCAGAA